TTAATTGATTAAATATATAAACAGTATTTCAATTTGATGAACAAATTGAAATAAGAAACGGAAAATAAATGCAAAATAAAACAAGCAGAAAATGAATATGATGGTATTAGACGTGAAGAGTTCGCTAAAGCAGCCAAAGAATAAAATTCTACTAGATCATACTGCTTTGTCTTCTCTTAAAAAACAACAAATGGAAATAAGAAACAGAAAATGAATACGAAATGAAACTGAGCAGAAAATCTGAAGCCTACCGTTACATATGGTTACTAGATAAACTTAAGTTACTCAAACACATAATTAACTTAAGTTAATATGACATGAAACGGTCTTGAAACTGATTCACAAATTGGAAACTGCATAAACTGAAACCGACAACATGAATTTGCACACTAACATTTGTCTGGTTCATGAATAATCAAACCATACTTAATGTAATTTAAATATGTTTACACAAACAATCATTCAATTTATTAAATAAATTACCATTTTTCTAATTCCGTGGGTTTGACGTACCATTTTACTGGTCAAACAACACGAAGCTGTTTACTGTTACTTCCATGGCGAATGAGCGTTTCAGGCAGAGGGACGTTTCAGTAATTTGGCATATTAAAGAGGGCAGTTAGAGGGTCTTTATCGGTGCACCTCTCCTGTCTCTTACAGAAGGAAGAGAGATAGAGAGAGAGAGAGTGGGCAACACTGTCTCAAGCAGGTGGCCTTTTCCTTCCAAATTTCCAAAAAGCTCTCCTTTTGTCTTTTATTTTTCTGGGTTTGGATTATTTTCTAATTTCCCTGAATTTTTTTGTTTGTTTTAGCATTGCCGGAAGGAAATGTCTGTGAAGAGCAGAGGATGGGGAGGAGAGGTAACAGTGAGGAATGTGATGTCAAGGAACTGGGCACTTTTGCTTTGCTTTTGCAGCTTCTGTGCTGGAGTTTTATTTACCAACAGGTAAAATTCTCGGATGGTTTTTTACCGTTAGCTGTAAATTTGCAATTTTTATTAAACTCTTGTGCTTGTTTTGAGTACATTTTGCATTTTTTTTTTACCAAAAGCTTGGAGCCCCATAACTAGTTGGCTTTTGTGGAAGAATCTGAGGAAATTATTTAAAATTCTATGTGTTAGTGCTTAATGATGACCTGTTTATGTTCGTTGGGTGATTATTTAAGTGCTTAAAACGTTTTGCATCATCGATGCGAATGATGGACAAAGACGAATGCGTGTGTTTTTCTATTTGTTCATGTTTTGTACAGTTACATTGTTTGATTTGTTTAAGGTTACATGTCAAGAAAACTCGGCATTAGTGGTTTAAGTTATGCTTGTCATAATGATCCAAGAAATTTTCAACAGGTTGTGGATTCCTGAATCAAGGCCATCGCGAATTGGAGCTGAAAAGATATTTTCCGAATCTGATGCGTGTGATCATAAGCTTGTAAGTGTATTCATCACATGTTTTCTAGTCTTAATTTGCATAGCAAATAGTTCTTGAGAATGTTGCCATCTTTTGATAGCTCGGATAATTTCTTTGAAGGTTATAAAGCACACGACTCGTGACAGTTCAGGGGAAGCTACTAATCAAGTGATTCAGTAAGCTCTGCTGATGCTTCTTTTGGAGCTACATTTGTCTTACAAGAAATGTTGCAGTGTCTCGAGGAACTAAAACACAAAGCTTATTTCTATTCATGCATGCAGGGAGATAAATAAAACGGTTTCAAATTTGGAGATGAAGTTAGCCGCTGTTAGGGCAACGCATGAATCTGTACAAAATGGATATCCTACGTCTGGAAACTTGAAAACATTTCAATCAACTTCGAAGAAAAAGTACTTCATGGTTGTAGGGATCAATACAGCTTTTAATAGCCAAAAAAGAAGAGATTCAGTACGTGCAACTTGGATGCCGCAAGGTGCATTATACATTTGGGTTTAATTTAGTTGCGATGTTGACAGGATATTTGAGTTTTTTCTTATTCTGGCTGTAATTAATGGTTTCTAGTTGTATAAATCTTTACCAGGTGAGGATAGAAAGAAGCTGGAAGAAGAGAAGGGCATAATCATACGGTTTGTCATAGGTCACAGGTGAGGTTTACCATGCCTTCTTTCACCCATTGTCAGTTACAAAGCATCTTCCACCTGAGTCGTTTAAGCAAAACTAAATTCGTAGCTAATCTGGTTAAATGTTATGTACGTATCTAGTCATTTCGGCACTGAGACAGATTTAAAGGTTGAATCGCTGTATTCCCTGCCTGTATAACGGGTAGGCCAGCCAAATGAAGTCTCGTGGTGAATAAGCCTGCGCATGATATCTGTTTTTGTTCTCGTTCCTAACAGTACATCCAGGCTATTGAATATGAACTGGTAAATTATGAATATTTATCGATTTTCCTATTGTTACTAGTCCGACAGCTGGTAGTATTCTTGATAAAGCGGTTGAAGCAGAGGAGCGCGCCCATGGAGACTTCCTGAGGCTGGTGATTTTCTTGCCCATTTTAACCAGAAATATATTATTCGATGTAACACTCCAGTTTACCCAATTTCTAATTCATACTATGTTTGCAGGACCATGTAGAGGGATACCTGGAATTATCAGCCAAAACAAAGACATATTTTTCGACAGCAGTTGCCTTGTGGGATGCTGAATTTTATATCAAAGTTGATGATGACGTCCATGTAAATTTAGGTAACATAAATTTAAGATTGTTTTCCACATCTGTTCATTTTCCCTAAGTTGCTCATGGTGCGTTGCTAACATTATTTTTCTCAGCATTTCGATTTAACCCCTTTTCCATCTCGTTGAGTTGATTTGCCTTTCATTTACCACAGCAACGCTTGGAATGATTTTATCTAGACACCGTCTGAAACCCCGAGTCTATATTGGTTGCATGAAGTCGGGTCCAGTCCTTGCTCGAAAGTAAGTGCGTGTTCTGTTTATTTTTAGCTGGATGTATATTCAGATATTGATGAACATGGTTTTCATGGTGTTTTTATTGTGCAATAGGGGAGTGAAATACCATGAGCCAGAGTTTTGGAAATTTGGTGAGATAGGAAACAAGTATTTTCGGCATGCTACAGGGCAGTTATATGCTATCTCGAAAGATTTGGCAACTTACATATCAGGAAACCAGTAAGTTCTCGCCTTGTCTCTATTTATTTACGGAGCTAAATAAAACTCTGCTTGGAAAGAGTTGCTTCTCAAAAATGCCTTTAACCCTTTAATTTGATTCTTATTTCTTGCTTTTTCTCTCTTGATGAAGGGCTGTGCTGCACAAATATGCCAATGAAGATGTTTCGTTGGGATCTTGGTTTATTGGTTTAGACGTAGAACAGGTGGACGATAGAAGACTATGTTGTGGTACCCCGCCAGGTAATTTGAAAATTCTTTCGTCTTTCTAGTAGTTCTAGCCTGAATGAGTTGTGTTCCCTGTACTCGTTTGAGATGTAATTACAGAACATGAAATCTAGCAGTAAAAAAATAGATAAAATGTTGCTTACGCTATATAGAGTTGACGGTGTAGTATGTACAGCAGATTGTATGTGGAAGGCAATGACAGGCAACACCTGCGCTGCTTCATTTGATTGGCGATGCAGCGGGATTTGCAAGTCTGTTGAGAGGATGATGGGCGTTCACGAGCGCTGTGGTGAAGACAAGAATGCTATTTGGAGTGCAAGATTTTCTCAGTAACCGGCTTATGCTCATCCAATCTCGCGAGGGATGTGCGGATAGCCTGGAAAAGGCATGCAGACTTGTTTTATTCTTTTTTCCGGCTCGTTGCTAGTAGAGACCAAAAATATACAATGCTTACAGTTTAGGGGAATGACAATGTTGTTCGGGGTGCCATCTGCGTTATTGCTGGTGAAATCAACCCCCGACGGCAGGTGAAAAAACTAAAGAGACGATGAGATAAATTTTTAACACCCCATTCTTTTGATGGTGGGGAGCTAGATTATAAGTTCTATGCCACGGAAACTATGATTCTTAGTATGTAGTAACCTTCAAATTCTGCAGCATTTGCAGTGTTTTGCTTTCAAATTAATATTATAATTGTTTGTTGCCTTCACTCACATTGATTATTGTTTAGTAGTAGTAAAACGGTTATTAGTATTACCATTGAAAGTGGGCGACTCAAAATCAATAAGGCTCATTGTTTTGTGACGGTTATTACCATTGAAAATGGGTGATTCCAAACCAATAAGGCTTCTCGTTTTGTGAGGGTCGGCTGGGAACATGTATATACGCAACATTATCCTTACTTTGTAAAGTGGTTGTTTCCACAACTCGAACTTGTGACCTTTCAGTCACAAGAAAACAACATTTTCATTGCGCTAAAACTCGGCCTCGGTTATTATCATGAGTGTGATTATTCACGACTTTGGAATGCCCCTTATGAATCTTTAGAAACTTGCAGACAAAGTAGGTTTTAATGATGGCTTTTGTAGAAAATTGAAAAATTGATTAAAAGCATGAGCAGCTCATTAATTTTTTGAAAATGCGATTGTGGAGTTTTCGTGTATAGTTTCTTGTACTTTTGAATCCCATATGGTAAAGACATAAAACAATAATAATCGAAACTCTTGCAAGGCCAATAAATGATTTCTTTCATCTATGTTTGATCTTCGACAATCGAAACACCTTGCATGAATTTAAAAAAATTTACAATACAACGAATATTTCAAAGATAAATGACGTTTCAGTAAAAATCCAAAGCTCGTTTTAGTGCATTTGTCCACGTCATATATCTCATTCCCCAAAAAAAAATGATAGATAACTAAATTTGTGTGTCAATGCTCGAGCACCACACAATAAGTCGCTTGGGCCACAAGATATTTATTTGGATCATCACCGAATTTCCTTATCCTTTTTTCCGGAATTTGTGAATTTAGGAGAACAAACGAAACGACGTCGTTTGTATTAACAACTTGGTTACGCGACACGAAGAGAGTGAGAGAGAGAGAGAGAGAGAGAGATTGCTTGCAACACGCCGAACGGAAAAGAGATATAGAAAGAGGAAGTTTGCAAGTTAATAGATTTCGTGTTGGAATCGGAAAGGAACCCTAACAATTCGTCTCTCCAATTTATATAATTTATGTGTTTGTGTGTATATATATATATTCGCTTTCGATAATTCTTCCCGTCTCTGATTGATTTTGACCCTCTTGATCTTTTCCTCCAATCAATCTGCCAAACCCCAGCGACCCTAATCGGTTCCTTTTCGTGTCTGGTAAGTTTAATCCCGCAACGTTTTTTGTAATATTTGTGTCTGATCTTGTAGTACGATTTTTGGGTAGGAGGGAATTTTCAATTTTGTGATGTCTTGTTGTTTTAAATTTGCAGAGAGCAAACGCAGTGAGAGTTCCGCCATGGCCAAAAGCTCGTTCAAGCTTGAACATACTCTGGGTATGTCTTTAATTTTTAATTTTGTTGGGTTATTTGATCTGCAATACCCACCTGCCTTTGTTGGTTTCTTTTAATTGGTTGATTGTAGTTTTTGATGTCTTGTTTTTGAACCTGAATTATGGATTGTATGTGTGACCCTTTTGGATTGAAGGATGATTTGCAGATAAAAGTTTAGGTCTTTATTAGCTTGATAAAACAAAATCTTGGGTTTTTGTCGATTGCTTCTGCTTGTTATTGTTTAAATTTTAGTATGAGTTTTTCGATCGAACTTGTTCTGATAACAAACATGTTTGTTCAATGGATTTAAGTTGTGGGATTATAAATCATCGGCCTTTCTTTGACATGAGTTTTTTCTGTCAAACTTGTTTTTGATAGAATTAAGTCGTGGGATTCTAGACTATCGAACTTTTACTGGCTAAAGGTTGAGTTTTTTTTCATGCAATTGTGATCATTATCAATTTCTTCATCTTGTATTGTTAGATTTGAGTTTCAGTTTTTCTCTTGGATTTGGTTGTTTGATGGAATATTAAATCGTAGACCTTTCGTGGGTAAAGGTTGGCTTTTGTTTCATGGAATGTTTATCGTTGTCGTGATGGCCGATGGGAGAATAATCTTGGTGAAAAGACTGTCTTAATTCTTTATGGAATTAACATCTGTTTTGCTGATGGTCTTGGACTTACTAATTTCAGAAAGGAGGCAAGCAGAAGCTAGTCGTATCAGGGAGAAGTATCCTGACAGAATTCCAGTAAAGTTTTACCGAATCAAATACTTTGACTTCCCGTGTTTTCAGGGTTATGCTCTGTTCTAATTTGAGCTTCCATGCAGGTGATTGTGGAGAAGGCTGCAAGGAGTGACATTCCTGACATTGACAAGAAGAAGTTAGTAGCTAATTCCCTTCTGCTTTAGTTCTTGTTCATATGTGTTACTACTATGTAATAGGATTGTGCTATATTTATTTATGCTTCCGACATATTCTCTTTACTATATAGTAAATAGTTTGTAGTGTAAGTTGTGCATTTTGATGTACACATGCGATTTCTTTACACTGAGGGGGTTCTAGTCATGTCTATCTCATTGAGAATTTGAACTCTGGAGGGAAGAACGATTTCATATCTTAACTGATGTTTTAGGAGTGGTTAGGAATGGTCTTGATCATCATTGTTTGCATGAACTGGTTACCCTAGTAACCAAGTGTTCCCACGAAATATATTTCGTACTCTCATTATATAAGATTTGTATATGTGATAGAAAATGTACCTATTACAACGGCAAACTCAGAGTTCATTTGTGTTCATAGCTTCTTTAAAATCAAGGTGTTCTCACATGGTTTTGCTGTTATGTTTCTCTCCACAGATACCTTGTCCCTGCTGATCTCAATGTTGGGCAATTTGTCTACGTTGTAAGGAAGAGGATCAAGCTCGGTGCAGAAAAGGCTATATTTATCTTTGTCAATAACGCTCTCCCTCCTAATGGTCAGTTGCAAATTCATCTATTAGGCATTCTATATATATATTCCTCCAAAGTTGTGGTCGTAATATTTTTTCCTGTGTTACAGCTGCCCTGATGTCTACAATTTACGAGGAGAACAAGGACGAGGATGGATTTCTTTACTTGACATACAGCGGAGAGAATGTCTTTGGTTCCTTTTAAGAGCGAGAATGCTTGTAAATAGAACCTATGAAATGTAAATTCTTATCTTAAACATGGTGGTTGAACTAATTTTCATTTCATTTTATGGAATTTCAAAGGATGTTAATGATCGCTGAACTATTTTGATTATTTCCGGTTATCGTTTCATCTCACTGTCGTTTAGTAGAATCGAGCTTAGTTTTCATGAGTTGTGCATGAAATAGATCTGGTCTTTCACCACGGCAGTCGATTTTTTGTTCTAGCTGGAAATGGATGTGCAGGTTCCGGTTCTATACGCAAATGCATCAAGGGTTTGAGGAATAATTTCCACACGCCTCTGTTTATATCGTCCCTTATAAATCATTTGATCCGTAGTTTATGATTGGTGTTTGATTAGGGTCTTTTTTTGTTCGTTTTACGATCTGCTTAAAAGAGAAGAAACTAACGAAAACTAACGAAAAGTCCTCAAAAACTTTAGTTTTAATTAAAATGACAAAATAAAAATATAAGTGAATAGTAATAAAAGCGACTTTTGAAGGTAAAACTGTCATTAACGTTAAAAATGAACAGTACCAGAAGTGTTTCGTTAAGATTCCCAAGAAACTATACTCCAAGTATTTCAACATTCTTACACACCAAATAGGCAAAAATAATCACAAATCAACACTTCGACAACAAGCAATTGGATTTTCTGGACGTCGAACATTTCTAGTTTGCTGGTTTGGTTGGTTTTTTCTTCTGGCACTGATTTTTGATCCATTTGATGCCGTTGGACGTGCCGCTCTTGATCTTTTCAGCGCCGGCCATTGCAACCACCTTGGCTTTGCCTATGCCAGACTTGGTCTCTGCCTTCTTGTTGTTGCTGTCGTTTTCTGCCGTCCTGGTGTTGTCTGCATCTTCCGGTGCGCCGATGCCTCCGGCACCCCATTGATCCGCCCACCCCGGTGCTTCGGCAGCCATCACTCACTTCTCTCGAATTCTCCAACCACCACCCTGTTTTCCATAAAAACATGGCAAAATAATTTGAGAAGATGTGTGAATTTAACATCAACCATCGAAAATCAAACATAAAGTTTCCTATTAGACAATTTTAACAATCTGAACAATCTTAGTTGTTCCCGAAGGTGGCTCTTCAGAAAGCAGTCTTTACATTCATCGTAATTTTAACAATCTTAGCGCGCAACTAATGGAAGCAATATCCGAATGGACTTTATCATGACTACTCGGTGACCGCATTCGAGAGATGGATCTGAACTCAGCATGGAAGATGAGAAATCATGAGAAGGTTTTGTACCAAAATTAAGAACATGAGAGAGAGAGTACCTGGAGAGAGCTTAGCTAGCGTGTAGATTTAGAAAGATGGTGGAGTTAACCATAAAAAACCTAGTTGTATATATTCAGAGACCACATGTGGATGATGGATGGGCTGTCTCTCTCTGTCTATCACCTTCACCTCATTTTTTATAAATTTAACAGTTAATGTTATTTACACACCGTTTTTTCTCTTATGCACCTTTATTAATTTTTGTCCACTAATTTTCTTCAATTCATTTGATCTGGCAAATGTCTCGTGGACGAAAGGTCCCACTGTTATCTTTCTTCAATCGTTCCGATCAGAACAAGTGGATTGGTTTGTTGCGTCCTTTTATCTACACAATTCCTTGTCTTTGTTCATGATCATGCTGGGCGAAAGATAGTTGTAAAATCAGAAATTAAGAGGTCTGTGTGAGAAGTAAAAATAGGTATGTGGATGCACCATCGAAATGTAACTTTAGTATTTACTTTTTTCTTTAAGATTACAAAGAAAATAGAAAGAAAAAGTAGTTTGCCAACTCATGTCATGAGTGGTTCCCATCCAGCGAAGCAAAAGCATCGTTTGGCATTTTGCCCTTCGTTGTGCAACCCCTAATCATCATCGTTGATTTCTGGTCGTGCAGAGGCACTGAGCATCTTTTCCTTAACAACCAAGGCAACTCTCTCAACACTAAGTTCAAGAAGCAAGGTAAAACGCCAAACTAACATTTGATACTGTATAACCAATGGCGGAGTTTAGGAATTATTCGGTGGTTGCGCTAAGCTAGAATTATTACTAGGAATTATTCGTTGGTATTGTAAATAGTGGATATATTTGCCCACATGTGTATAGTAAAAACTCATATGCTAAATAGTAACCCTTTTGTAAGTTTCCTTTGAAGTGGCTCTATAAATAGAGCACTTCGATTGTTCAAAGTGAAGAACACCAAAAAGAGAAAGGAAAGAAATATACTACTTTTAGTATCTCTTATTTTCACACTTGCAATAATTTTGTGGTAGTATTAAAAAACTAAACAGTGTAATATTTGCACCTGCTTCGCCCTCACTCTTAGCAAAGGTTATTTCTCTAACTTTTGCCTATTTATAACAGTTGGGAACTTCTTTTACTAATACACATTCAACACTTTGCTCTAGTTTTAGCTTCAATGCATGTAACTGTGGAGAAGACTGGCATAGACAAGGGAATGTGAAAGTTTCTCAAGTTGTCAATTCCCTTATACTTTGATTGTCTTTTTGGTACAATAATGTTTAGGAAGACATCAGTTACTCTCACCATTAGAGTTAGGGTATACCCATAATTTCAAGTCGGAATGACTTATGCGTGGCACTTAACTACCAGCTGCCACTAGTATGAATTTAGTAGGAATTTATAAGTCATGCACCAACAATGATTGTTGGTAGCGGGACTCAAACTTTGGTGAGATGACACACAAGACAAGGACCTTACCAACTGATGTCACATCCCGACCCGGGCCGGACCACTTCCCGGGCCCGCTCCACCACCGTAGCACGATATTGTCCGCTTTGGGCTTACCATTTCCTCACGGTTTTGTTTTTGGGAACTCACGAGCAACTTCCCAGTGGGTCACCCATCATGGGATTGCTCTAGCCCCCTTCTCACTTAACTTCGGAGTTCCTACGGAACCCGAAGCCAGTGAGCTCCCAAAAGGCCTCGTGCTAGGTAGGGATGGGAATATACATTTAAGGATCACTCCCCTGGGCGATGTGGGATGTCACAATCCACCCCCTTTAGGGGCCCGACGTCCTCGTCGGCACACCACGACCAGGGTTAGGCTCTGATACCAAATGTCACATCCTGACCCGGGCCGGACCACTTCCCGGGCCCGCTCCACCACCGTAGCACGATATTGTCCGTTTTGGGCTTACCATTTCCTCACGGTTTTGTTTTTGGGAACTCACGAGCAACTTCCCAGTGGGTCACCCATCATGGGATTGCTCTAGCCCCTTTCTCGCTTAACTTCGGAGTTCCTACAGAACCCGAAGCCAGTAAGCTCCCAAAATGCCTCGTGCTAGGTAGGGATGGGAATACACATTTAAGGATCACTCCCCTGGACGATGTGGGATGTCACAACTGAGCCAACCCTCGTTGGTACAATTGGAATGGGATAAAATAGTTACTTTTTCGACTATACATTTGGTATATGCCTTGGCAAAAGTCGAAGCTATGCAAACCTACTATTTTAGATGCTAGGTAGGGATGGGCAAATGTTATGGTAGGTGGGTAACCGCGGTTATTTACCCATAACCGTTAAGTTTTTACCTGCATAATCGTTTACCCGTTGGGTATTTACATAAATGGGTATACCCATACCCATAACCGTTTATAAATGGTTAACCATACCCATAACTGCATACCCATTTACCTATAACCGCGTACCTGTTTACTTTTTTTTTTTTTTTTTTACTACCTATTTTTTTAACAACTTGAAAATTAAAAAGAAATTTGTCATAATTTTCTTTTTTTCTAACTATTAAATACTGTTATAAGTACATTTAACATGTATTTTTATATTAACGGCAATATTATTTATGAATATATGCGATGTCTCCCAATTATTTGACGGTCAATATATTACAAAAATCATGCATGGTTGTAGGTTAATTAATATTCTTGCATACATACATACATATATATATATATATATAAGTACGCATTAGTCTGCTAATAAGCTAATTTGATAAATATTTGGATTTTTATTTAGAAACATATGTTCATCAATCCAAGCCATTTAATCAATTTCTAATTTTGGGGTCAAATATTTATTGAAAACTATATATATATATATATATATACACATATACATATATATATATAGGTACGCATCATCTGATAATAACATGTTTCTAAATGATCAAGGTAATCATTATCTTGAATTGGTCTAAGCTTCAAAAGACTCCAAAACAAAACTGATGAACACTTTAATGCTTTAGCACATTCAATTCCATATATTAAACATTAGCCTATTATATCGACTATATTTTTCTCTCAAGTGAGGCATATATATATATATATATATATATATATTATGGCCCTTTATAACCAAATATATCTCGGGATACTAAACCTAGTTAGAAACTAATTTTTTTTTTTTTTTAGTTTTACATATATTAAAATAAACGGTTAAATGGGTACCCGTTTATAACTGCGGGTAATACCCATAACCGTCCATTTAAATTTCACGGGTAAATACCCATAACCGTAACCGTCAAATTTAAATGGACGGATAATCGCGGTTACCCATAATCAATGGGTATTTGCCCATCCCTAGTTAGGATTCTCCTGACCAAGCCCATCAGGCCTTTGAAATTTTATCAAACGGCTACAATTATTATAACTTTTAGAGGGGCCCCCTATTTGTAACCATTGAATAAAATTTCAACGGCCCGATGGGCTTGGTTAGGAGAATCCTCACCTTTTGCTCAGGAGAGGATCATGATCTGCATGTTTTGATATGGGTCTAATGCATTGCACAGTCATAGGTAGGGTCTAATAAGTAGAGCAATTAAAGTGTCCACAATTTGAAAACAAAATTGCACCGACTGCCGTTGAATGTTTTATCATGACTCTTCCAGAATTAACATGGAACTTTAAGTTACACATCAAATCTCATCATTTCATAAAAAACTCTCATCTTTTTTAGTGTAAAATATATCGTTGTATTAAAATAAAATAAAAGTTACTCATCAAATCTCATCGTTTCATCAAAAAATCTATCCGATTCCTGTTTTGAATTTTCCTCGCAATTCTTGCAGATTAGTATCCAAATTTGAATTTGAACTCGCATGAAGCTAGGAGAACTACAAGTAATTTTACATGTTTTCGTTGAGTTGTTTACAACAGTAAGCTTCATTTTTGTTGGTATTTATTACATGATTCGTGAGCATTATACATTGATTGTCTTATGCAAATAATCGCTCAAGAGGCTTTTGACATTGATTGTGTTAGCTTCGGGGGATTTTAACATTACTAAGATGGAGGACTACATCTTACTGTTAGAATCATGTAAAATTACTTATTCCACCATGATAGGTAGTTACAATACGATAGGTAGTTTAGCTTGTACAAGTACTTATATGGCAGGTAGTTTAGATTGTAAAAGTACTTATATAATAGATAGTTTAGATTATAAAAGATCAGTTGAAATCCAAGTTTATGCCGACTAATATTATAATATGGTAGGTAGTTTAGCTTGTACAAGTACTTATACGACGTGTAGTTTAGATTGTAAAAGTACTTATATGATAGGTAGTTTAGATTGTAAAAGATCAGCTGAAATTCGGGTTTATGCGTGGGGTACCTGAGTTGAAAAAAAAAATAGAAAAATAATATAACTAATAGCGAGGCCCCCTAAGAGATTTATAGGTGTCCAAAATTTTGGAAATGTCATAAATTAATTTTAGGAAATACGTGGTGCGAATAGAATGACTCTAACTTTGGCTTATAGCACGCAGTTTTTTGTGAAAAAAAAAAATTGAAATTTTTAGCTTTAAGAAATATTTTGCACTGGAGTTAAGGAAAATATTGCAAAATCTTTGGATATGAATCTACCGATTATTAGGTCCTTAAACTATTTTTTATTGATTCTTAAAGTGAGAAAATAGAAAAATATCTTTAAATTTAGGTTTTAAATCATTGATTACAAGTGTTTAAAATGAATTATAATATATTTTGCATGAAAAAAATATATTTTGAAAAACATGAATATAATAGTTTGTTGTTATGGTAAGAGAAATAAAAGAAACATTAACAAAATAAAAAATAAAAATAAAAAACTGAAAAAAAAAATTGAAAGGGGAGGGATCGGTACGATGGTAGCGACTTATTCTGGAATCAGTTGCTATGTTTTGAGCGATTATTTTGATAAGGAATCGCTATCAAAGTACCGATCGTATCATTTTCTATTTTATTTTTTTTTCCATTGAATAGCTATAGTAGAGTCTAGGCCATAAAATTGGGAAAGGGATCCTTCCGGATCTCTTCCACCAAATCATCTAATTCGGACCCTTGAAATTTAGTCCAACGGCTAAAGTTATTATAACTTTTAAAAGGGCCCCCTGCTTGTAGCCGTTGGATCAAATTTTAAGGGCCTGGATTGATTGATTGGGTGGATTTGGTGGAAGGGATCCGTAGAGGATCTCTTTCCATCAAATTGGACCTATTTCAAGTTAGTTTATTTACACATAACAAATTTGTAAGGAAGAAGTTAAATTAAACCACATATTAATGAAACTCTTGTTGTCAACTATAAGAGGGTGAAAAAACACTTTTGTCTTCTATCACAAAATAAAATTATGGACAATAAAGTAATTTGCACAAACGAAATTTTACAGTTGTTTTTAAAAGCATCATCTACATGTAATCCTAACAAATCACCTATAAGAACTCGGGATTTTTATGGGTGTATTGTTTTATGAAACTTCGAATTTCTATGGCACTTATTTTCAAAACTTCAAGTTCGAGTTTAAGTACGAACTCTAGGTTCATGATACCTGCAAACAAACACAATATACATATGTAGTGAACAGGAATAGCTTCGGACCTATGTGTGAAAAGAATGAGTGATGACCCAAAATATGGGGTTGTCGTGGCTTGCAGGCCCAAAAGAGTGGTTGTTGGGTTGCTGGGCAACAAAGGAGAAGTAAATAGGTTAATAGATTATATACCTAATTATTGGGCTAAGAAGGAAACGTGAAAAACAAGGCCTAACCCATGGGCTAGTTATTTCATACGAGCCAAAAATAAAACAAGTGGGACGGTTTGGTGCATATGCCTAATTGGGTTGCAGGTCAACTACAGACAACTTAGGTCCGTAAGAAAGGTGATGCAAAATGGCTTTCTTTTGGACCTTAGAGTTTTGGAGTAGGAACGACTTGGTGGCTTGGGTAGCGCGGCTTCAGGCTGCGGCTCCCACGCGTGTAGGGTTTGAAAAATCCCATTTTTTTTCTTCTCTTATTCACGCATATTCAATTCACCACAATTATAGGAACAATAAATTTAAGCTGAATCTATAATTTGAAAAAAAAAAAAACGTAAAATTAGAGTTCATGCTTCATGGTGAATATTTCATGCAATCAATGCTGAAAAAATATCGAAATTGAAACCATATTTTATAGATTACTTGGATTGACTGATGAATATTGTGAACGGCTTTGTAGTAAACAAGCATTCAGTTCCTTAGCTCAGTGTTAAGAGCGTGTTTAACAATGCGTTTTGGCCTAAATTTAACTGAAGGAGAGAGAGATGGGTGCAGTTGCATAAAGAGAAAAGATAGGCTTGGGAATTACTGTGATGATATTTCTCCGTACCTTATGCCTTTTTAAAGAAAAATAATGGGGTTACTTGCCCTACAAGTAATACAAAGTTGTGCCTTTTTGTTTTTTGTAATTAATTCTTGAATTGTTTCTCACTAACATTAGTAGTTGTTGAGACTATAAATACTCAAGTAAGGATTTCTGTTATGAAATTGGTGTGAATGCCCACATAAAGAAAACAACCACATATGGCTAAGGGTGGAAAGTGGAAGAATAGAAGTCAAAATTATATTGCTTAAATAGTAGAAGTTTGGTCTTTATTGTTTTGGTGTGTAAGCCTTTTACATGCATTAAAAGAGACGTATGCTTGTATCGTATGGGTAGTACAAAAAGATGAAAAGCAGAAAGTAATAATCATGTTTTCCTCATTTGTCTCTCTCTACGTTCATTTCTCTTATCTGATACTAGTGAAGAAAATAAACAGAATAATACATGACTTCTGTTTCACTTCAATCTCTAACAACTCTGATAATATATATATAGGAATGCATCATCTGATAATAACATGTTTCTAAATGCTCAAGGTAATCATTATCTTGAATTGGTCAAAGCTCTAAAAGACTCCAAAACAAAACTGTCGAACACTTTAATACTTTAACACATTCAATCACATATATTAAACATTAGCTCGTTCTATCAACTATATTTTTCTCTCAAGTGAGGCATATATATATATATATATATTATATGGCCCTTTATAACCAAATATATCTCGGGATACTAAACCTAGTTAGAAACTATTTTTTTCTTTTTTTAGTTTTACATATATTAAAATAAATGGTTAAATAGGTACTCGTTTATAACCACGAGTAACATCCATAACTACCCATTTAAATTTAACGATTACCCATAACCGTAACAGTCAAATTTAAATGGGCGGATAACCGCGGTTACCCATAACCAATGGGTATTTGCTCATCCCTAATGCTAGGGAAATGAGGGAGAAGCATCTCATATACCGGTAAGATTTTCATTGCATCAAATATGCTCCTTCCGATGGATATGATGATCGTACCTAATTTCAACCTCCACGACGCCGGCGAGTGTCAAGAGGGATGCAGGGAGTGACATTTTTGACATTGACATGAATTTTTTTATTGAAAATCAAAGTGCTTCTTTGAAAGCGCTTGTTCGTGATTCTTGAATAAGCATTTAATGTGTGCTTTTTTTATAGAGCAATTTATGACTCATAAGCACTTATAACTTTTTTTCCTACGCACGTTCATTATAAGAAACAGTTTTTACCCCGTAATAACACTTTTCAGCCAATTAGTACTACGATCTAGTAGTATTCATCTTTACTTGTAAATAAGAAGTCTTATGTTCGATTATAACCAAGATAATATCGTTTGTTAAAAAAAAAAAAAAACACTTTCCATGTCATTACACTTCGTCTACCACTCCAAACACATACACTTGTCGAAGAAAAACCAGTCAATGGAGTACTTGATCGTGGGATCAAAGTAGACATTCTCGATTTCCATGGACGATTGAATTCGAGGACTTTCTTGATTGGCTAAGTAACACGGAGAAGTTCTTTGATTAGAAAGAAGTACGCAATCAAGAAAACAAATGATTAGAAATGAATGAGAAACAAAAAATTGGGGATCAACTTTTACTAAATCAGTACAACATTTGAGAGTCAAAACCCACTTGCCGGAAAATCGTTGCTACAAATAACTGAAGAACTGATAGGGTAACATATGTACAATCAATCTATCAATTTCCTTAATTTCATGGTGTCAAAGATTACACAAGCTAATTACTTGGATGATCTCCTCGTGGACTTGGATTTCTTCATTTTGTGAGACTTGTCCTCGATGCTCGTCCAGGTATAACCGCTAGGAATGGCGAAAGGGTCAGAAGAGTCTTGAGCCGCCGTCACTGCCGGAGGAGCACGGTGTTGGTGTTGGTGGTTTTGCTTGCTCGCGGAAGACCCCGACTGGCTGCTGTTCCGCCTCAGCCACGACGATGACGAAAAGGATGGTGGTTTTTGCGCCTTGTATTTGTGTTCCTCCTCTTGCTGGCCTCGTCCTTCATGAATAAACTGTCTGGGGCTTGACATTGGAGTGAAGAATTGCTCAGTTGGCGGGAGCTCAACGAACTTTGTGAACGTTATCACGACTCTCACTGTGGGGACCACCGGTATTGCCACCTGTCCGTCACCAAACAACTCCATAAGCTAAACAAAGCTATAATCTCACAATGACCTCACGTTGACAGTTTAACCGTTAATGACGTGGCAAAATCCAAGGTCAAAGAAGCATTCTAATTTTTTTTTTTTTTAAGATACTAACTCGAGTATAACAAGTTGGACATACTATTATAGCAATTGAGCTAACTCACGTTTATAGGATTAAATAAACTCACTTGTTTGGCCATTGCATAAATAACGTGGTGGGTGGCCAGCAAATGAGGAATCATAAAAGGATAAAAATTGGGATCACAAACCATGCCTAATTGTAAAGACAAGGATACTCAAACCTGAGTCTGAACGGTCCGATCACGTGTTATGTGCTATTGCTCCCGCACAAAGACACTTTTGCATTGTGTGTCAAACCAGCTTAGAGCCGATTTTGAACCCCAATGCAGAGATTTACCTTTCTTGCGAGAGCGATCACAATGTCGCATGAATGACGTGATCGGGCTGTTTCCACTCAGGATTTTCGATCGGGAAATAAGGAACGCGACAAAGAAAGCGTTACACGTCGAATCACCGACCAAGGAGGCCCCACAAAAAGCTTCTAATCTAAGGTATGATATCATCTATGGTATGATTCTGGAAAACGACGACCCTCACTAGTGGGATCCACTAAAACGCACAGTTTCTCACTTGTCACTTATCACTTGTCACCATGTTAAAGTCAGCTCTCTTTGTCTCCCGTTTAAAACAGCTTACGCCACAAGCATAAAAAGCACCAAAAAGCAAATAAAACAGACCAAACAATAAACTCCACGACCACCCATGCCCCTCCGGGCCCACCCAATCTCGAGTGGGACCCCATTACGATATTTTCTAAAATGCCCTTACCTTAACCGGAAAAGTCCCTGGCGGGAACTTGGTGGTGAGCAACTCCCTCATCCTCCTAACGGCCTTCACCTTGTTCGCCAAGATGTCCAGTAACGGCAGCAGCTCCTCCGTCTTTAACGGGAACTGCTCCGTCAGCCAAACGCACGGCCTCAAGCTCCTCACGAACTCTTTCTCTTTTGTCTGCACTGGCGCCGCCGCAATCGCAGCTGTTTTGGACCTCCTTGACGGCGGCCCGGAAATTGACGAAACGTCGACGCTTTTTCTCCCCAATGCCACGAACTCCCTCTCCTCCCTCACGAAGCTACTATGCCTCCTGCCGTCGGGAATTCCGAAGCTCGGATTCTCCGCCACCAAAAACCCGTCGTCGTCCTCGTCGAGCTCCAGAGGAAGCACCTGCTCGCTCCCTGCCACATCAGCGTCGCCATTGGCGACTTTTCTCGAGCGGAAGCTGAACACGACATTGTGAATTTCGTACACTCGAGCTTTCCACTCTCCGACGCTCTCCGTCTTATCCTGCCTCCTCCAATTGGTCCGCCCGACTAGCTCCGCTTTGGTGACGTCCATGCCTGGGCGATACACACTCGTCTGGGAGCAGAATCCGGCGATGTCCGACTCACTCATGGGCGACCCGGCGTTCTCGAACGCGTCGAAGATTTTCCGATCGTCGCGGTTCAAAACGAGCAGCGATCCCAGGGGAACGTCGTGGCTTTGATCGCCGTCGCCGAGGAAGAGGAAGCTCTGATCGGCGCGCTGGATCTTCAATCCGTCAAATCCGGCCAGCGACGTGTCGGCCCGCAAGTTGCCGTCGCGCTTCCAGATCTTGTAAGTGTCGGAGGGAGCGATCTTCCCGACGAAGGGAATGACGGAGCTTTCGAAGTGAAAAGAGATCTCCATGTAAAAATCTCGCATTCTTCGGAGCACGGCGATGACACGTGGAAGACGGCGCCGCCACTTCGCCCAAGCCGAGCGGTGGTGGAGCCGGAGAAGGATTAAAGCAACGTCGGAGCTCCGGCGACATAAGGCTTCCTGCAGGGGATTCCAGCCGGAGGAGTTCTGGAGGGACACGTCGGCGCCTGCGGAGGCTAGAATTTTGGCGGACGCTGCGTCGTTTAGCCGGACTGCGAGGTGGAGAGGGGTTTCTCGGAAGGGAACGTCGCGGCGGTCGAGCACGGATGAGATCCGGTCCGCGGTCCGTTCCTGAGAGAGGGAGTCGGACTCGGTGTGGATCTGAGTCGGATCGCCGAGTCGCGGAAGGGTGGCGACGATTCGGGAGAGCGTGGTGTGGTCAGCCAGAACGACAGCGTAGTGTACCGGGCTGTGGGAGTAGTCGTCGGGCTTGAGCGGCGGAAACGACGGCGTCGAGGTCGCCGACGATTTGGCCATGGTTTTTACTGCGCAGGGGGAGTCGGGTGTGTTCAATGTGGGCGTTTTTAAGGAGTAGAGAAGTAATGGGAGAACGAAAACGAGTGATGCGGGGGTAATTTCGTTAATGAAAAACGTAAATGTTAATTAATCGGCGCGACTTTTGGTGGAATTCTGGGGTTGGTGTCAGGCAAGGCGTCGGGGATGTTTCTTTCCATCCGAGTACTTTTTTCTGCTTCCGTTTCTTTTGTTTGTTTTTTCCTCGTCGTCCTTTGAATTTCTGTCTTTCCCCTTTCTGTGTTTTATTTTTATTTTTTCTAAAAATAATAATGATACAAACTGTTAAAATAAATAAATAAATGTAAAATATAACACTATTACTGCGGATCTCGACATAGAGAATCCCGTGGCCGCTGTTGCCATTGCAGCTTCTTCTCATTTTGATCACATCGAGGTCATCTCAATGTTTTATATGTCGTTTCGGACAGAAATGAAGGATTCTTCTGATTCGGATGAAAGGAATTCAGAGAAGATTTTATTCCTCATTTACCCATCTATTTTAATTTTATTCACTTTTACACATGTCATGTGTGTTCCACTTTGACTTAAAACTAAAATTTTTATTTATGTGTACTAGTTGAGATAAGTGACATGATGAAAAGAGAGAAAATTAAAAAAAAAAAAAAAACATAAGTGAGAAGATTGCTAGCACTTCTCGCACTTGGATTAAAAAACTGAGAAAGTAGAGAATGAGATCATCTTCAGATCCTCAAATTGTGTCTGTTCATTGTACATTATGCGGTCAATTTTCATTAAATACTATTCATGTTTAATTTTAAATAAAAATATTTAAAATAATTTATGATCGTACGATATACAATAAACGGACATAATTTGAGGATCTAGAGGATTTTTACAAAGAAGATCTGGAAAGGATCTTCATTCAATTTGTGGGACCTGGAAATGGTGTTGGGGGAGAGCGATTAGTCAGCGTCTAAGGATGTGTATGTATGTGACATGACACGGGAAAAAACAGGGAGCGTGTTTGCCCTAAACGCAACCAAATCCGATTCCAAACGGATTTCATTTCACACTAACCCATGCAATATGCATACAATATACACTTGTATAAAGTGAAAAAGTACCCTCTCTGATTTTTCCATGACCGACCATTTCAAACTATCGCACTTTATTTTAAACAACCAATTTGTTGCAAAGTACATTTCACCATATTTGTGTCGAACGCACAACATTCATTAGAGCGAATGTGCTTTGCAACACTCCGATTGTAGATTGAACATTATTTGCCTCCAAATTAGATGGATGTTTTTTTTTTTTTTTTTTTTTTTAACTTTTGTATTTTAAGATGACCAACTGGTGGTAAAACTTAGACAATTCACTTTTTCAAGTGCTGAGAATACCTGAATACTTATTTAACTATAATTTATCTCTAAAGATAAATGATTTCTCACACGTAAGAAACTAACTATTCTTTTTTAATTGGATTTCAGTCTAACTCTTTTCATGTCGGCAGTAGTCGAAGAATGATCAATTGCAATCTACACATCATGTAGCATCTTTGATAATTGGATAAGGTTTGAGCTCCTTCATGGGCTTTGTGGGCCTTGGTTTTTGGAAGTGAAGGAAACCATCTTAAAGGTTTTAGCGGCCCGCAATACGGTGCTGAAATGGGCCATACAGTAGGTTGTATTAGTGAATCACCAGGACCGGGTCCAGTGGGTTTAAGACAGGACATCTAGAGCCCAAATTTGATAGTTCTCGATAGCTGTAAATGGTACAACATTACTTGTACAATTATGATAGGAATTTAACTCTCTTAATTACGTTGTGAGCCTTACTTGTACATCAGATATAAAAGTTTAACTTTCGTATACCATACGTTCTCTCTTTCAGATGCTAAAATAAAACGCGTTTAGTAGCTTTGATTGTAGAATACTTGCTCATACATCAAATATAAAAGTTTTAACTCTCGTAGTTCATACGTTCTCTATTTTCGATTACTAATCCTTATAGAGTAGCTTCAAACGGTGGACAATAATTCTCATTTAAAACAAAAACAACGTCCCATTTCAGTTTGAAGATTTTAGGAGCAACGTCCAAATCTTGACGCAAAGGCATAGTCCCTAGCCATCGCCCCATTGTTGGGTGTTGACCAGTTATATAGAAGATAGTGACTTCAATTGTTATTTTGTAAAGTGGTCAAATGAGATACTTAATTTTAATCGTACGATAACTTATGACTCGTTTACTTAACAAAAGCGAGGGAAGCAAAGAGTCAAGAAGCTTATGAATATGCTAATTAAAGAGAATCAGATCAACTAGTTCTCTTAGTTGATTTGATTCATAATTTTTCTAGTACTAAATTCTGAATTGTAAGCTAAAAGCTTACGTTTTTTTTTTTTTTTTCCTGATTTATCATATGTTAATAAACCAAAAATAAAGTTAGGTATCAATTTCGCGCCTCAATTCGTTTTAAGTAAACACGTCAAAACATGAAATGTTGCTGAAAAGTAAAGTGGCATCTCCCTTTCCTCACCAAAAATGTTAGGTTCTACTTGTGCATCCAAAACATCTATATGATTGGGGTAGGATTATCTTCCCTCTTATTACCATCCATTCATCTTACACTCTTTTTTTTGGCCTTATTCTCTATATATAAAATTCAAAACAAGATGTAAATGTAGCGTAATCGCAACCGTTTAAATAGAAGAAGATGAAATGAAAAAGAGATTAGGAGGGGAGATAATTTTAACCCATTGGATACAGCTCACAACAAGCATAGTGACAGGTTTAGCCTCTCTCTCTCTCTCTCTCTCTCATCAAAAGCCAGATCATTTTCATGAATATTGTATTCAAGTATCGGATAATTATACATTGAAAATATTCTCAGCTTCCGTTTTTTTCTTTGTTTCTATATTACTCGAGGCTGCGAGAGGCAGCGTGTATCTAACTACGTTCTTGCTCACCTAACCTCCCTCATAACTCCTTTCCTCTCTAATTTCTTCGCCTTGTCGGTCCCTCTCTCTCTCTCTCTCTCTCTAAAACCTTCAAAGTTCCAACCTTTTCAATCCCTAAAAGATTTCTCGTTTTCTTACATTTTTCTTACTCAAACACAATTTTGTGGGGTCCAGCGCCAGCCACCATTTTCATCGACCCTGACAATGTGCTTACTGGGTTTCATCCAACAAACCCCCCACCAACTTCCTCCTCTCTCATGAGCCCAGGTTCTTCTCAAAGATTCGGTCTTTTCGCAAATTTGCATTTCTGGGTTCAGTGGAAATTTCAGCTGATTGATTGATTGATGGCTGCCAAGGCTGCATCCATCTGGGTTTATGCTAAAACCCCTTATTCTCATCAGGGTGTCTCAGATTTGGGCACGAACCGCCCCGGGTTGGCTTTGAATTCGAATTCCCGCAAATGGGAATGTTCTTGTTTGGCCTTTGCTTCCGCCCAGAGAGCTATCACTCCGGTGGAAGATGAAAAACTGAGCCTCGGTGGCGCTGCTGAGTCTTCCGGTGCAATGGAACGGATAGAGGACAATGAGACCAGGGGGTTCCACAAGGATTTGAACCTTCTTCCTAGTGAGTTTACTCCACAAGCTGATAATTTTATGTTTTGATCAATTTCTATATGTTTAATTTCAATTGGGTTCTTGTATGTTGGGATTGAGCAAATAGAACTTTGTTAGGTGAAGAACAAAGTTAGATTTTGACTACTTGTTGGGCAATGCAGAACAAAGTTAAGTTTAGTAGCTTTACTTTATGTGATGGCTATTGGTACTTGGGTTTTCATCATTAAGAAGATTTTGTTTGACTGCTGTAGCATCGGTGCATTTAACTGATTTGGCCCAGATATTTAGATGAGGGTAGGATCAAATGAATGAGATTAGGCAAACAATTACATCAAAATTTATGACATAACAGTGAGGACTAGAAGGATTTCCATTATGACTTGACAGTGAGAACTAGTAAGTGCGTTACTCTTTCAGAGGCCCGGTGTTGGTGGAAATAACGCAATTCGTATTTATGGAAATAACATTATTGATGGAAACTTTGATTTTTTTCAGAAATGACAAATTTGGGTCCTGTCTATCATAGTTGACCAAATTCTTGGTTTATCTCGTGTCGGGAAACCAATAGATTTAGCAATAAAATTAGGTTTATATCCACCAAAAAAAGACTTTTTGAAGATATCTTGACAATTCACACTAATACTAAAGTCCATCGATATCTAAACAGCACGTTGCTGTAATATAGGTCATATCTTTCCGCCTCCTTATTGATATTGGTACGTTCAAAAAGTGGCAATATCCTGGATGCTAAATTTCACCTTGGATTACAAATATGAACCCATGGTCAGGTGCGTTCCAAAATGAGATCAAAGACCTGACAATCCCACTAAAATATATAATCTCTCAAAATATTTTGGGCCAATCCAACAGGTTGATTTCAAAAGGCAATGTAACAGTCAGATTTTGTAAATGTGTTCACATCCAAATACTTAAAAGAATAGCTTGGTTGTAGTGGTGATTTTCATGTTTCTCGTTGTCTAATGTGCTACTATACTTCTTCATTCTAGTGATCCTTTGTTTTCAATTTTATCTTACAATTGTTTCTTTCACACTCACTTCTCATAGCTTGAATATGAATTAATTGCAGAACCATTGACAGCAAATGACCTTTCTTCTCCTGGTAATGGTTCACAAGTGAGAGTTGCTTATCAGGTAGATCTTCTCATTGATTACTTGCATTCTTTTTGGTGTTCATATATATATATATATATATATATATGTATGTATGTATGTATTTTTTTTTTTTTTTTTTTTTGCTCTTATGTATGTTGGATTTGCAAATTTAGGGGTTACCAGGGGCATATAGTGAGGCTGCTGCATTAAAAGCTTATCCGAAGTGTGAGACCGTCCCATGTGACCAGTTTGAAGCTGCATTCAAGGTTGAATAATTGTTTTTAAAAGTTAATATTATTTTTATTATATTTACCTGTTTGGGTACCTTGATTAGGTTATTTTTTTATCATTTAACAGGCAGTTGAACTTTGGTTAGTGGATAAAGCAGTTCTTCCAATTGAGAATTCTGTTGGCGGAAGCATCCACCGTAATTATGACTTACTACTTCGCCATAGACTGCACATAGTTGGAGAGGTACAATTGCAAGTGAACCATTGTCTCTTGGGGTTGCCTGGTGTAAGAAAAGAGGAAGTAAAACGTGTTTTAAGCCATCCTCAGGTTGGTCTTTCACTTATTTTCTTTTTCAATTCTTTTCTATTTGCATGAGCGGACGGCTGATGAATATATTGTCCGACCTGTCTAGTTCATATGGCATGAACGCTCATATCATTGTGTCCTCAAATTGCCTATTTGCAACAATGGGAATGTTCCCCAATGAGGTAATCTTAGATTCTTAATTGCTTTGGACCACAGCCAAAAAGGAGAATCGTTATATGATAGCTAACAAGTTTTGAAATGCTCTTTCGTGGAGCTCCTCCATAATTGGCTTGTCTTTCATGTAACGTCTACTAGCAGCGTTTCCACAACCACCACACAGTACTAGCAGATTGTGATTACTTTCTTGGCACTGGAACTTGTAGCAAAATGGGTCATAGGTCTTGAGCTAGCACTTTATAGATATCTTCTATTTGGTTTGACTGCAGAAAATTTGGGCAGTAGTGAATTAATTTTACATGTGGCATACATGCATGCATATACAATCTAGTCTTTCAAATGAAAGACCTAGGTCTTCAAACATTTTTTGCGGACATTTTCGCTTGCAGGCCCTTGCTCAATGTGAGATGACACTAAGCAGTTTGGGTATCGTCAGAATCAATGCCGATGACACTGCTCTGGCTGCACAGGTTATCAATATATCTTCAGTATTGTTAACTGTGGTAGCCATTAAGGGTGTCTTTATGCTAAGGGTTAGGAAATTTTGTACAGATGGTGGCCTCAACTGGCCTACGGAATACTGGTGCTGTTGCAAGTGCTCGAGCTGCAAAAATTTATGGGCTTGAAATTCTTGCAGAAAAAATTCAAGTAAGGCTATTTTTTAGATTCCTTTTTCAGGTTTAATGTATAAGTTAAGCCGGCTTGTTTGAACATCAGTTGGGTATTGATATGGTACACATCTGGATGGATTGAGAATTGAGACCTCTTCTCCTTTCTTAAGAAAGCAGAAGGTGCAAATTCACTGTTGTCTCAGCATGCTAGTTGGTTCGGGAGGGTGTTTGCAAGCTATTCTTTCCAAGCATTACAGTGTTCTACATGTCACATTTTCTTGCTTTGAGTATTTGCATTTTAAAATATGATACTGCAAAGATCGATCACTCTCTCAGATGTTGGATGTTTTAACCTTATTTTGCACCTCTTTTTATTCCATGAAGACGATGGCTACTGGGGATTACTAATGACACCGCTTGATTAATTTACTAACACTTTGCCCTGGCCAGGATGATGACGATAATATCACTCGCTTTTTGATACTTGCAAGAGAACCGATAATTCCAGGGACTGACCGGTCATATAAGGTATAAACCTTTGCTTTGTTTAGTTTTTTTATTTTACATATCTTTGTTTTCCTTTAATCTTCTAAATATTTATTATAAATTTTCTTCATAGACAAGCGTTGTTTTCACTCTTGAAGAAGGTCCTGGTGTACTATTTAAAGCCTTGGCAGTATTTGCTCTTAGGGGCATTAACTTGACAAAGGTAACCTTATGTAATCATTTTTTTTTTTCTTTCATGCTCACCCACTGTGTATAGCTTTTTGACAAATCTTCTCCTTTTGGAGCAAGTTCAGATAGAGAGTCGCCCACAGAAGCAACGTCCACTAAGGGTTGTGGATGATTCAAATGAAGGGAGTGCCAAGTGAGTGGTACTAAGTATAGAATATGATAAGTTTTACATATCCACTCCAGTATATACTGAACAGACAGTTCATGATATGACTTTTAATATTGGTAAGGTCGCTACAAAAATTACATTCTACAGAATTGATTGATCGATCTGTTTTGGCAGGTATTTCGACTACCTCTTTTACATTGACTTTGAAGCTTCTATGGCAGAGCCCCGTGCCCAATATGCTTTGGGACATCTGCAGGTCGGTCTCGTATCATTTAGATGCATGTTCTTTATTTTCTCAACTTTCTCAACTTTTATTTTGTGCCGGAGGTTTTGCCACATGGTGGCACACTTAACTTGACATTACAATGTCTTCCTCTGAAACCTCTCCACCCCTCAGTATAAAGCATTGGTGATTTAAGGGTGAATTGCTTTCTTTTGCAGGAATTTGCAAGATTTCTTCGTGTCCTTGGTAGCTACCCAATGGACACGATTCCATAGAAGGCAGTTGTTTCTTGGGCTCAATTTCGTAATGTTATTGGTTTCCAGACATGCAAACACAGTTCAACCGTCAATGTTGTATATATCTGGGCGCTGAAGCTGCATACAAAGATCAAGCTTCAAATGAGGAGAATTCCTCGCAAAACTTCATTTTTCTTTCCTTTTCGACTCTATATCATTCTTTATTTCCTCCGAACGGGGGTTTTTACTGTTTCAGAACTGTGGTGATATCTTGATACAACACCAATCTGTAAACAATACCGCAGGATTCATGAAAGACAGTTTGTGATGCTTTCTGCTTTGTGTCTATCATCATTTTACACTGGATTCTTAGGTGTTCGCCCTGCATCTCGTCCTCGGGATTATAGAGTAGAAAATCCGTTCAGAAAATTTGAAACTCTGAAGCTCTATAAATTCAATAAGACTAGAGAAATATCGTAATTGATGACAAGGTTGTAAATCCGTGACCAACTGAAAACAGTAATGAATAGACTCAGCGAGAGACTGCTGAGAGAAGTGTTGAGAAAGACGCTCCCACATTTCATGAGAAGTGGACAGCCCAACTATCAGAGAAATGATTGTTTCAGTGAGAGCAGCACGAAGCATACTAACAAGTGTCCGATCTGTCTGATACCAGACCAGGTAAGCTGGTTAGGGGACGAGGTGACCACCTGAGCATCAGAATCAGCAGAGCCGGCAAGGGCTGCCGCATGTAAGAATTCCTACCACTAGATGGTGAAGGTCAAGTAACATTCATAATATGCGTGATAAAATTCACGTGGGTGCAATTTCTAACCATATGAGTCCAACAACAACGTTGAACTAGACAAACAGAGCAATAGCCGCGAAATCCCATTAAACATTACAACCAAAGTAACACAAGTGCCTATTACAAAAGACGAACAAGCATATCATACTAATACGGAAACTGGATCATCGTATTCATGGGAGATGGACTCTCCATCCACGTCTTTACTACTCTCACTTCATTGCAATTACTCTTGCTTACGGCTGCAGTTCCTTCAAGAAATCTTCGTTGTCAACCAGGACCTGCAAGCACAACGTCAAAAACCGAAGTAATGAGCTCAATGGCTAGTGCTGCAACGTGCAAACATTTTCACAAATGGAAAAAGTTAAACCGGAGCTCTGGGATGAAGCATATTAACACGTTCTATTTTTTCTTTGCACTTCAATGCTCCAATATCATACTTAATGTAACAATAAAACAATGATGCATATGATAAAAGATCAAACACCTAAATAGAAAGTTGAGCAACAAGTGAACAAGTGAAAACTCACAGTTTTCCAGCCATCGGGATCGAGAAAAGAGGTGATCTTGGTGTTGAGTCCAGGAATCGGTCCTGGCTGTCTGGTTATCTTTCCTCCAAGCTCTTGTGTAACCAAATTGACAGCCTCAGCACTTTTGTAGACATCATCAGTACCGATAGCAATCTGGCATATGTAGACACAAACATATCAGGACAGCAGAAGTTGTTTGCGAATTAAATGTTTTATAAGTTGCAAAACAAGTCAACCTGTGCATACGCATTTCCTTTGGTGTATTCGGTCACACCATAGTTATAGGTCAACTCCAAGATAGTTGTTTGGTCTTCTTCTTTATATCCCAAAATGGCTATAGTGTACTGTAAAATGGATGCAATGCAAAAACACGGGAAGATTCAGCAAGCCTTTGTTTACCAAGATGATGGGCCAAGGACTTAATTATAAGCAAGCTACTAAGATAATAATAATGCTTGGTGAAGAGAGGATTCACTACCTTGTATTCGGGCCTGTCAATTGTCCTCAACAGCTTCAACCCTAATGCCTGCACAGAAGGAAAGCCATGACATCGGACAAAATTAAGAAAAATGATCACGTATTTGAAGAATACAAATACTAAGTTCCAAACCATCTTATATAATTCAAACACGACTAGTTCAAGAATTCAACGGCAACCTAGTATTTGTCTAATCTAATGTGCTGAAACTGCCACATGAAAAGTGGCTTGCAAAATCCCAAGATGAAAAAGCCTGATAATTTTTGAATCCATATGCAGGGTATCAAATGAGTACCTTCTCATAGAACTTGACTGAGCGTTCAAGATCACCAACGCGGAGCATTACTTGGCAAAGTGGCTCAGGAGTGGAGGGTCGCTGAATAATCTCAAACATGTAACCATCAGGATCCTTCACGAAGGCAATGATGCTCTTCCCGCCTTTAACAGGTCCAGGCTCCCTCGTCACAGTTCCACCCTTAGCACGAACATCTTCAACCAGTTTTTGAACCTACAAAATCCCAAATTCCATACAATCATCAAACTGAGAAACAAGAACAAAATCCTCAATTTCCAAATTCCCAATAATCGATACCCTTGAGAAGAACTTAAAACACTGGAATGGTATTCTAAGCCAATTAGCACTTCTATAAAGTTAAATTGCACGGCACTAACGATTGGCTTGGGATACCGTCACATTGTCATTTGAGCAAGTTTCTCTGGCCTACAGACTTATCAGGAGTAGCAAAGGTGAAATGTCCAAAATCCCAATTCCATACAATCATCAAAATTCAGAAACAACAACAAATCCAAAACTTCCGGATGATACAGTGACGGTTTCTCATGTCCATCATACAGATGCCACAAAGCCAAAAAAGCACGTCGCATTTGATTTACTCGAGGTAACGTCACATTGTCTCCATATATGTCAAGTAAATCATACTGTCATTCCAGATATAAGTATCTCAAATTCTGCCATTCGAACACTTACATCGGGAGTAGCGATGGCGAAGTGCCCGAAACCGGTGCCGATATCATAAGAAGAAACTCCATAATTGTAGGTCAATTCAACCACAAAGTGAGAGTCTTCGGGCCCAAACCCCAGAAACGCATTCGAGTATTTCTCCTCCGGGATGTCCCTCTTCCTCAACAGCTTCATCCCCAAAGCCTCCGTATAAAACCTGCAATTATTTTATTTTCCCAAAAATAAAAAATTAAATTTGAAATCGAATGCCAAAAAAAAATGAAAAACTGAAATCATGGAAATTGAATCGATCATCGTTTATGATCGCTGATGTTGAAAATTAACGTACTTGATGGTGCGATCGAGGTCGCCGACGCGGTACACAGCGTGGAGGAACCGGCGCTTGTCCTTCTTCGGCCATTCCAAAACGTCGGCGTTTGGAGCGACGGATTTTCCCTCAGCTTCGGCCATTTTCGAGCGTTCTAGTGTTCTGAATCTTGCGATCAGTGAGCTATTTTATTTAATATTATCTTGAATTCAAATTCGCACGTGGACCAATCAGAGATGGTTACATATGGAATCACGGTGATCTGCCGACTTTGGCCATCTTCAACTGACCAGGCTAAAAGATCATGCGGCTAAAAATAACTTAGAATGATATGAAAATCGTTTCCAACCAATGACTAGGTTAAAGGGCTTGTGGATCCCACTAAGCCCAAACCCCCAAATCAGGCTAGTGGGATGGCCATTTCCAGCAAGCCAACTAGCCCTTTAGCGCTAGAATGTCAAGCTTGACATTTTGCCACCCCTCCAGTCCAGCCCATTTGAATGTCAACGGTTACCTAGTATCAGCATGACGTCAGTTAGCAACGATTAGCTAACGTCATGCTGCCGTCAGGTTACCTTTTGGAATTTGAATTTTATTTTGGACGAATTTAAAAAATAATAATAATAATTTTCTTCCTATAAATACCTATACCATTCCTACAACATTGAAAGTTGAAGATAAAATGTGTCACGTAGATAAGAATTATATCTAAAATTTGCACAACCAATTATATCTCGACACATGACGCTCAAAATCTTATCCAAAAAATTATTAAGATTACATAGAGATAAGAAATCTGGAGAGTTACTCACTTTAGTGACACGTGACACTCAAAATCCTATCCGAAAAAAGTATTGAGATTACATAAAGATAAGAAATCTGGAGAGTTACTCACGTTAGCGATACGTGTTACTCGAAATCTTATCCAAAAAATTATTAAGATTATATAAAGATAAGAAATCTGAATGCTCATTCATTTGGCCTAATGCTTTTTTGTTTTTTTTGGTTTTTTTAATACTAAATTGTATATGATTTATTGTCTTGCAATGACTGCAATCATAAAGAGAGAAAATCATTTACTATTCCAAATAGAATCCACGAGTGATTTATACAAGCACACATGTGCTATAATTAACATCACTACAAAAATGACTATTTAAATCCATAATGCAATGAACTAAAGAGAAATACAATATGAATTAGGACAATTCACTACTCACTCAATTATTTTCTCACGTAAAAGTGTACAATTAACTCATGAGATTGCAAAAGAACTACATTTTTGGGTTTAAATCAATGAAATGATTTATTCATTTAACATTGACATTGTGTTTGCATGGCATAAAATGTCATTGAAAATGAAGTGTATTGTGTATAGTAAATATCAAATGGACCACATTTTTGCACCTTTTAAGATGATCAAGATGGAGGGGGAGCACGCACATAAAAAGTAGTGGTTAGCAATGAGCCTCTTTTTGGAGATTTTTGTCACAAATATGGCCAGGCCTCGAATCTTTTCTCCACATGTGTGCCAAGTACTCGAAGTTGCAGCTTCAGAAATTGCCAAAGCAATTATAACGTGATAAACCACCCCAGGCATATATAACAGGTGTCTGATTGTGTAAATTTTAATTAGTAACGATTATGTAGGATTCCTTTGTATATAGAAAATTATTTTTTCTTGCAACTTCAATTACTTGGAGAGCAAGTGATTCTCTCAGCCATGTTTCCGGTGGTGCCGAGAAACAGCGCCAAAAACGTTGATGGACGTACCTATGAGTATCCTCGTCGACATCATTATGAGGTTGCATCCGGCAATCGAATCATTCTGTCAGTTCCGGTGTGTTTCAAGACCACCTTAAATTTCATCGATTCCCCATTCTTTGCTCAACTGCATACTTGACGTTTGCTTAATTCTGCTGCCTCTTGTGCTGCCACTGTCCAAGTACCTCGACTTATTCTTCTTGCTGAGTTTGCGGCTCCTAACCCGCAATCGGCAAATAAGCTTCCATTCAAATACCCTACTGGCACTGGTGCTATTGCATTTAAACACGCGCTTCCTAACTGGAAGATTTTCTGCGGGGGCTGTTGGCATGATGTATAGTTTGTTTTCTGCAACTTGATTGGCTTTAACGCCAGCAGATTAACAAGTTCATGCTACTTGTTTGATGCTTTTAGGGGTGAAGTTCTACAGCTCCCATTGCTCCCATTGACGTGGAGGAACCGCGCGCTCACCCTTCAACCCTACAGGTTTTCATGGTACGGCATGGGATTTGACAATATATCTTGCACATACAAGATTGTAATAAGAATGTATCAAACATATGGAGTCATGCATTGTATGTATCAACAGGTTTACGTGGTACGCTGCAGTCCCGCCTTCTCTTTCATCCATTTTGTTAACAACACAACTAGATTTAAGGGCTGTTCGGTGGCCTCATTTTGGACTCCATTTCCATTTTGCGATTCAAAAGCGCCGTAAATGCAGCCAATCACACCACATGAGTCCGTCGTTAGTTTGGATTCCTTGCTTTCTGTATATGTGGCGTGACGAACATGTATTATGCTGTATTCCAATTGTAGGGAGGATCATCTTTTGTAACAGATCCAAGACTTTCAACTTCTGCGAAGACTCTTAAATCAAGCGAGACTACGCGAAGGAAGATGCCCTAAAAGCATGTCGAACAACCTTATTACACGTTAATCTGTATTCCGAATTCCTCATACAAATTCACCTTTCAACAATTCCATGTCGAATTGAAGGAAATTTTGCTTTAACTTTTCTGGGCAGAATCTTGGGGTGAAAACAAAATAAGAGAAGCAAACACAAACTGTTCACTAGATTATCATCATCTAATCTTTGTCATGATAACTACAAAATGCTCGATCACAACTTTGTCATCCATTGCCGAATAAACTTTATCATCATCCATACTTTGAAATGTAAGTTGTTGAATTCAGTGACCTTAATCTGCCAGTGTTCTGCAAAAAAATTGTAAGACAAAAACAAACTGCATTACTAACAACATCCAACAAGAAAGAACAGGAAAAGTACCAAGTAAAAGAATAGGCAAACTTCTTTTGGTCCACGAGAACAGGCCAATACTACTGAATTAGAACATTAGGCGTACTTGAATGAAAGAAGTATTGCTATAACTTTTCCATAACTACGTTTACTCACAGTGACTAGGTGTCCACGAAAACACACCATTGCGAGAAATTTCCTTCCTTGTAGAAGTTCACCATTCCGGGCTTCAGACGAGCAATTCCTGAGAAAACAAAATCTTCATTCCATATGTCCAGCATAACAGTAATGATCCCAATAAGCACCAATGCCCTGTCCAAATAACATCATTTCACGGGTCGCGGATTTTCGGCGGCAGCTGCGGAGGTCGTTCCGGCAGAGACGTTCTGCTGGGTGTTGTGCTGCTGCTGTGGGTTAAGGACATGGACCACCGCCTCCACCATCTCTAGAAAAAATACAGAATATAAGAAAGTATGTAACGTGTACTGAGACAGATTTTAGGAAATTATAAAAAATGACTCATTTTCTTTATCTTATAACTGAAATAGGTTAAACCCAATATGTACAGAGCATGCACAACAATAGGACATAAATACGATTCTCCTAAAATTTACATTTACCAAATTGCTCTCCCATGTTTTATGTAATAAAAGAGTTGGCAATGCCGAGCCTTTGAGATTTACATAAAATAGTTATGTGCAAGTATACATACGAAAACTTTCTTAACAAGTGTCAAAGGTAAAACAAAAATTTACTAGTCTTTATCTTGGTGTTGCTAGGATGTCCCTACATCTTTGGTGCAAAATAAACCCACCTAGTTTTTATCAATTCCTATTTTAATTCTCTGCATATTTACTTATAAATCTAGTGAGTGTGACTGTAATTTCTCAGAGTATTAGTTTTTGTTATTCGCATATTTACTTTATGAATTTTTCTTCTTCGTTCTATATAATTCTATAGGTTTCTCATTTGTAATCGATCACTTCAGTCACTGACGTTTTCTCAGATTTTAATTGATTTGATGTTAATTGTTTGATTGAAATATAGATGGCTTTAGCCCAACCTGTAGTCAAACCTCAACCCCAACCTTCATCCCAACCCCAATTCTAACTTCACTGTGTCCTTGATAGTCTCAAATCTGTCGATGCCTGTCACGGTAAATTGACGGAAGTAAAGGAGGCCGGAGGATTGGACAATCTGGAGATCATACAAATTAGCCAAGCTCTAACAGGATTCGAGTCCGGACGATCAGGCCTCCTTTGTCTCTTGAGGAGAAAGGCTTCTGACAAACTGAAGAGTAGGGGATGAAGATATCGAGGACACAACGTCAAGAGACAAGGAAGGTCCTTATCTTCCTCCCCTACTCTTCAGTTCGTCAGAAGCTTTGTCTCTTGCTTTTCTCTTCAAGAGACAAAGGAGGCCTGATCGTCCGGACTTGAATCCTGTTAGAGCTTGGTTAATTTGTATGGTCTCCAAACTGTCCAATCCTTCGGCTTACTTTACTTCCTTCAATTTTCCATGACATGTGTCGACAGATTTAAGGCTATCGAGGCACGACGAAGTTGGAATTGGGGTTGGCATGAAGGTTGGGGTTGAGGTTGGAATACGGGTTGGGCTGAAGCCATCTATATTTCAAACAATTAACATGAGATCAAATTAAAATCTGAGAAAACGTCAGTGAGCGAAGTGATCGATTACGAACGTGAAACCTTTGGAATTATGTAGAACGAAGAAGAAAAATTCATAAAGTAAATATGCGAAGAACATAAACTAATAATATGAGAAATTACAGTCACATTCACTAGATTTATAAGTAAATATGTAGAGAAGAAAAATAGGAATTGATTTCAACACGAAGAGCATCACGTACCTCTTCTTGGCGAGCTACAATGTGAGGAGGAGAAGAAATTTGATAGCCTGCACCATATATACACCACCAACACTTTTGAACATTTTTTTTCTGTTAATACAAAATAAAAATGCCAGCTTTTAATCCTAGAGAGAGAAAGAAGAGAGGTAGAGGAATATTTATTACTAATAGCCAAAATCTAATACCTAACTTCATAAATGTCATTTTTTACAAAATCTTTTAAATAAAGCAGAAAAATTACTTAAATAGACCTAAATACCCTCAAAATTAAAATCAACTAACAAACCTGTTGGATCAGAATTTTGGAAAAATGAGAGGCCACTACATTTTGTCGGCATAGTGTTCGCAGTCAATATCAATGAAATCAAGGATCTTAGTATAACTGAAATCTTGAAGATGACCGACAATTTCAATCAAGCAAACATCATTGTGTGGATTCAATAAATTAAAAATGAATCCATATATAAACGAAAAGAACAATTTTGTATATAAAGAAAATAGAATGTGAAATCATAACCTAATTGACCGTACCGAATTGATCGGACCAATATTATATAGTATACCTAATCGATCGTACCAAATGAATTCATTTGTATGTGAAAATAAACTAACTTAAAATAGGTGCAATTTTATGGAAATAGGTCCAATTTTATGAATTAAGCTGATGATCTAAATTAAACAGAAGTTGAAAGGAAATTAGTGAAAGGGAACAAACCTTGATCCATTTGCCTTGTAACAGAGACATGGCTGAAGAACTCTCAGTCACTGTGGAAACGCAGTTGCCGAAGTATCAGTCTTCGCCTTGCTCTGCAAAAATCCCCGAATTATTTAAGATTTCTTCTAAAAAAAAAAATCCAAAATTCGACAAAAAAAAGTAACGGTGCAGGCGACCTCAGCGAAGTCCGAGTCGGCGCCGTGGGCTCCCGGGAGCTAGGTACCGGCAAAAGTGTCGGTGTCTTCGAAGTCGGCGAAGTCGAAGTAGACGTCGACGACGTACTCCAGCTCGTCGTTCTGAAACTGCGCCCACGCCATGTTCGACAGCGGAAAAACTCGGGGATTAACTGAAATTCACAATGGCCATTAAATCGAAACCGAAAGTGGGAGAAGTGGCGAAGGAATATACCTGGAATTTGTTTCGGGGGGCCGGAATTCAGCTGGCGGGTTGAGAAAAACAGAATGTGTAGAATTTTCCCAAGAAACGAACAGAAAAAGCGAGCGCCTTTTTTAGGTGGGTGAAAGAAAACGCTCACCCACGGTGCTCAACTTATAGACTTTGGCGACAGGAAAAGAGATTACTGAAAGTGACAGCCAGTAGATTATTTTTCGGCATGAATGGAGGGCATGGTTTCTCAGAGAGTTCAGCGAGCTCATATTTTTTAATTCTCAGAGAGAGAAAACTGTCTGCCTTTTGCAGAAGTCGAAGTGTGTTTTGTCGAGGTTTTGAGTTGTAGGTAGATCAAACGAAGGGAGATGAGAGAGAGAGGCGGAGCGGCTAGGGTTTGAGTATGGAAGAGATGAAAAATGGAGAGTGCAGATTCAATGGTAATAATAAAAAAAATAGGGTAAAGTACAAAAAACTATCTCAATTATTAGGATCACGATAGTTTCATATCTCATTTTTTAAAATTGACAATGTCATACTGTAACTTACAAATTTGTCACAATATCATACCTCCGTCAATTTTTCTGTTAGTTTTTCTGTTAAATCCTGACGTGGCAAGAGATAGGGACCACTCACTAATCCAGTTGGATTAAAAATAAATTAAAAATATTTTTAATAATTAAATATTAAAAAAAATTAAGAATAAAAAAACAAAACAAAAAAATTTCCTAAAGGTGCGGGGACTCTTTTCCCTCTCATTCTTCTTCTCCTTCTTCTTCCTTCTTCTGGTTTTTTTTTTTTTTTTTCCTCCTCCTCTTCTTCCTCCTTCTCCTGGGGGGTGGAGGGGAGGGGAGGGGGTTTTCAAATTTTTTTTTTTTTTTTTTTTACCTCCTCCTCTTCTTCTTCTTCTTCTTCTTCGGTTCTTCCTCCTTCTCCTAGGGGGCGGGTGGGGTTGGGTTTTCAAATTTTCTTTTTCTTTTTTTCCTCCTCCTCTTCTTCCTCCTTCTTCTCCTTCGATTCTTTCTCCTTCTCCTGGGGGGTGGGTGGGGTTGGGATTTCAATTTTTTATTTTTTTTTGTGTGTTAAAGATTAAGCAGAAGAAGATGAAGATGGGGAAGACAAAGAAGAGGAGGGAAGGGACGACTAAGGTTTTTTTTTTTTTTTTTTTTTTTTTTTACATTTTTTTTTTTAGTTTTTAATAATATTTTATTAATTTTTTAATAGAAAGTGGTCCCAGTCTCTTGCCATGTCAGCATTTAACAGAAAAATTGACGGAGGTATGACATTGTCACAAATTCGTAAGATGCGGTATGACATTGTCAATTTTAAAAGATGAAGTATGAAATTGTCGTGACCCCAATAGTTGAGGTAGTTTTTTGTACTTTACCCAAAAAAATAAAAGTAAATTTACAAACTACCTAATATTATTTTATGCATTCTTTTTTGCTTCTTTTGATTTTTTTTTCGCTGAGGGGCGTTTTGGTTATATTCTTTTTCGTCGAAGTCGTGAGCCCAAATGTAGTATTCATTACAGGCTTTGGCTTTATATATAAGAGATGATTATGTATCTCATCGAATGTGGATGTACACATTAATCTGAGAATTTATGTATTCAACTCTCGAAATTACTGTAACGGTATTAATATATAGAAAGTAGAATTATCTCACATTTTCCTTTTGAACTATTGGGCCAAAAGTTCATTTGTTCAAATTTTTATAGCAATTGGTGATTGGCGCGTGGTTCTAAGAGCCCATAAGTTTGGGGCTGCCTTGCACCTAATTGGACCATCCTAATTGGTTATTGGCGCGTGGTCATATAGCTTGATTCAATTTGTATAAATTTTATTTTTAATTTATTTTGAAAAGTGTTATTGACATTTTAAAATTTTCATTCTATACTCTTTATAAGTGTATTTTTCTTTTTAAATATAGAAAATTTGAAATGTAAAATAAGAATTTTGAAATGCTAATAACGATTCTTTTTATTTTATATTTTACTTTATTTTTCTGTTCAACAAGGTCAACAATCTTTCTTCGTTGCATGCAGACTCGATGGCAAGATAATACTTATAATTGACCCAAGCTTCAATATTTGACACCACCAATCTTTCATCAAAAATAAAAAACAGAAAGATCTACAATTATTCTGAAACATGCATTCCATGCAAACAGACAACACCTGAACCATTTCTTCCACAGTACTGCATTCCCATCACCATCAACTGTCTCTGCTTCGTTTCCTTCTTTTGAAGCTAATTTCCCTCAAATTCCTTCCGTTTCACCCTGAATTTCCACACAAAAAAACCAAAGAATTAACACGAGCTACAATAACAACACTAACACATTCAACAACCATGAGAATAAGCGAGTCTTACATCCCATCTTCTGCCAACAAGCCATTGGTTGGGATTAAGCCTGGACATTGCTGAAAAAACAAAATCTTCAAGCCAAAGGTCCAAAATCCATGTGAATATCGTCAGAATCACATTTCCCCTGTCCAAAATCCACCGTCTTAGAGGTCCTGGACTTTCGTCGGCTGATGCAGCGGCGGCGGCGGAGGCGGCGGAGGCGGCTGAGGCGGCTGAGGCGGCAGCGGCGGAGGTCGTTCCTTGCTGGTCAAGCTGCTGCTGCTGTGGGTTTAGGACATCGACGATAGCCTCCAAGATCTCCCAGTCTTTTTCAGACTGGACATTTCCCCCAAGTTCAACCTGCAAACTTCCTCCCCCGTTGTTAACCAGTGCTTGGGTCACCAACCTGTTCAAGAGAGAGAAGAGGCTTCCTTGTCCTGACGCCATCCCCGATATAGCTTCGTCGATTCCTTCCATTTCCGCACGGTTCAATCCTCCCGCCTCCTTCTCTTTCATCAAACTGCGGTGCAAATCTTGGATAGATCGGAGGCGAGTTAGGACCCGCCGAGCTCGGTCTCCGGGTTCCGCTGCAGGTTCGACATGGGTTTGCCCTCCGGACATGATTATTGATTCTTGTATTGGACGAGCGTACCTGCACCTGTATAAGTAGTGGTTCACGGCCTCTACCACTCTACATAGCGTTTTCCTTTAATAATATAAAGTGTGCCGCTTTTGACTTTTGTCCCGCAACTTCTAACAATCCAAAATTGCACCCAAGTGCGTACAAAGACGACATGTAAAAATTGCATCCAAGATTGAACCCAAGTGCGGACAACGACACCTTGTCAAAATTGCACCCAAGATTAAACCCAAGTGCTGACAATGACACCTTGTAAAAATTGCACCCAAGTGCGGGCACCCAAGTTTGAACCCAAGTGCGGACAACGACACCTTGTAAAAAATTGCACCCAAGTGCGGACAACGACGACTTGTAAAAATTGTACCCAATGCGGACAACGACACCTTCTAACAATTGAACCCAAGTGCTGACGATGATAACTTCTAACAATTGAACCCAAGCAACGTCTAACAATTGAACCCAATTGAATGAAGGGTGAGAGTCTAGAAACAGAATGAAGGGTGAGAGATGAGGTGTGCGTTGTTTGTGACGTGAGATACTAAAATCGAATTGTTTTTATTTTAATCAAATAATAATTGGGGATTATTGGATCTTTTCCTCTCTTGTCCTAATTCTAGCGTTCCCAATGCTAAGAATCAATTTTTATTTTATTTTTAACAAACGATATTATCTACACTAAGGATGAAGGGTGATCTTAGCCTCACAATAGACTAGCAATAATATGATTCAAACTTGCATTTGACGATAATCAAACCTAAAACCTCTCACTTACAAGTGAAGAGAAATCAATTAAATATTTCATTTTGTTATATCCATAGCAGTCATAGTATGTACTAATATAGTTACGATGTAGATTATTATTTAAGCTTCTACCGTGTGCATGGCTAACTTTGTCGGTTACGATTTACTTGAAACTCTAAAAATCAATATTGATTGCGATTATATAAGTGAAGTTTATTTATTCAATTTTAACTCAACCATATAAAATTATTTATTTAATTAAGTTTGGACTTGAAGATTTCTAACTAGCAATACAATTTAATGATATTTTTCTTTTAATACTCTTTGAACAAATAAAAAGTAAATTTTAGCCATTTTATTGCGAATATGGGAGTAATTCATAGCCAAAGAGAAACAGTCCCGTTAAGAAACTTCAAAATTTATTAAAACACCAAGTGGGCCAACAAAAATGAGTAATGAAAATTACTCCAAGTTTTGTTGTCTTAGCGGTTAAGTTGATGTTATTCCGCCATGCAAGATATACGTGGCAAGGTTCACACGGGGCCCACCCACTTGACGAAAGCGAGACTATTTGATCGAGCCCCGCAAATCAAGCCCGCCACGTAAGCCGGTTACTATGCGGACTTTGTGAACAGAAGGCACAGACCTCAGACAATCGATTAAACCCATTATTCTAGAGTTCACCGGGGTGAATTGGACGATAAATTTTTCTTTATGACAGGAATACAAGTGGTACATTACGTGTTTTTATAAGAGTGGTGGGCAATTGTATTTTCTAAGTCATTAACATTTTAACAAACATATTCCACTATTTGTATAGCGAAACGTGGTGTACTACCCCGTGTTTTGGTCACATTAACAAATTTCTCGAACTAGACGTTTCAAGATAAGAGGTGAGCATAGGGATGGCAATGGATCAGTTTGGGGACGAAAATACTATATTCATCCTTATAACCACAAAAATTAATCATATACATAATCACAAATTAATCATCGAGTAATATTCATAATCATACTCACCGGATAACGAATTTCTCATCGGTTAACAATTATATTCATCTTTGCCAATAAAAAATATATATATTCGCCTAATTGACTCATGATAATTTAGTAAATATTAATCTTGTCATTAAATATTTGATGTATAAAATGATTTAATTAATGGATCATGTGGATCGTCCTTTTGGGGACATCCGATAAAAATGGATCTTGTAGAGCATAAAAATTAAAGCTAAACATTGATAATGTTGGTTGATCTTTGATATCTCCTATACGTACCATTGAATTCTCATAGATTTTGATTCATATAAAAAATTTTGAACTTTGCCACTCGATGAATAATGAATATACATATACATATATATATATATATATTATAAATATACTATATTATATAATACTTTAATATTATATATTATTCAGTTCGGATTTGGATACGGATATGGATTTGAGATCCCTATAACCATATCCAAAATCATAACCAAATAATATTCATGGTTTTTCCCCATACCTAAAATATATCTGAATTCTCATACCCAAATCCAATCTATTCGAGAGGTTATCGACGATTATCAAGATTAATAGTAAGAACTTAGAATTGTCATCCCTATGTGAGCAAGAAGGTGAGCAACATGACAAGCTAAAGGCAGTGTGTACTTTATATTTCTTTTTATATTCGTTTACAGTTAACAGTTTA